TCTCGGGCTTACATTGTCGACTGACATGAAGTGGAAACATTATATTTAATCCATTACTGTCTACTGCTAAGAAAGTTGGTTCACTGTGCAGGTCTTTCCATATTTTCTCTCCTGAATATATATTACATATATATAAGTCTAACATACGTCCATATCTTGAATATTGCAGAAACATATGGCCCCGTACTCCTGCTGTATATCTAGAGATTGCTGATAAAATCTAAAGAAGAATTAGCAATATCATTGATCCAGACTTGATGTCACGACTTCCCACAGCCGTAATGTCGTTTTCTTATATATATTCTATAAATCTTTTCAAGATGACTGTTCGGATAAACTACTCGATTTGGTACCTAGATTTTATGAATGTAACCGCAGTACTAGATTGGCGGCAAGGTCTTATCATTTCACAGTTGAAATGACTAGATGTAACTTCTCACTTGTGGAAATCTGTTTGTGTTATTTACGTTCCAGTCAACTTTGATCTCCAAACATTTAAATGCTATGTCAATCGTTGTCTACTGTCGTCTTGATTCTCTATTCTATTTTCTCTTAGTTTCTTTACTGCTTTAGATGGAGTGATATGATTAATTGAAAAATCTAATTAGAATACAAAAATAATGATTTAATCAGATAATTCTTTCCAAATACTAAAAGCAAAACAGTGGAGGGAACTCCCATAATTCTGAGAATATGCTATAAAATTGTATGGCTTTGAGAATCTGTTTTAGAAAAATAATTTTTATAAATTTCCAAGGGAATAACGCACACTTTTCAATCACTGAACGACAAAATTTGTCTGTATGGAAAGAGTTAATTTTACCGTTGTAATTACTATTATAAAAACCAAGTATTAATTGTATTAATTATATTAATTAGTATTAATTATAGGTTTCTAATTTATTTATTGAGGCGGATCATCCGTTAAATCGGATATGGGTTAATGTATTTCATTTTATCTCTTATAACATCCTTTATCTGTATTATCCACTTTAAGAGAGAAGGGTTAGTCAGTATATAGAGGTGGCTGCCGTAAGTGAAACAGAAGAAGATATAGGTAGTGTTTATAATTACTTTATTTAGGTCACACATTTTATAGTAAACAAGTGGTATTTGGAAAACATCAATCGCTACTTACAGAAACGTAAGTTCAGTTTTCTCTCAACCTTTCCATTGTAGTGAACTATAATCGATGCTGAAATATACGTTTATAAAGAAAGAATATCAAACTAAAAGATAATGCCTTAAGCTGAGGCAGCAGTTTCTAGAATATGTGTCATATACTCATTAACCCAGGACATATGGATGACACGAATTCTGATACTTCAATTCAGTCAGTTGATTGCGAATGATGGAATTGCTTTCCAATTTAATGGCTTCAAAAATCATCAAAATATTTGATTGAATTGGCTCACAGAAAAGGCATACATAATCGACGATCATCTCCGATTGCCTATCAGCAATAAACAGGTAGCTGACTGGATTTCAATTACCTTATTCCCCATGTATATTACGCCTTCATCTATAATATTCACACGTAAAATTTTGTGACTTCAAGTGATGAAGCTTGTAGTGATTAGGTCTGCATCCTCTCGGGAGTCTATTCCACAAACTCAAAGCACTTGGGAAGAAGCTGTCCGAATGGAAAATTCTTTTTGCTAATGGAATACGAAGGGAATCAGAATAAGACACTATATACGTAACCTGGCGAGACTAAGGCATGTAGCTTTTAAAGTATTTGCCAGAAAAATAGCATAGCGATAGGCTTCGAAATGTTCGACTGTGAGGCAGGGGTTGAAGAGCGGAAAACGATTCCTCAAACAAAAACACGTATATGTTTTGAAAAAAAATTATCAAGGGATAATTGACGATATCATTATCTATCAACCGATATCAGATATATATATATATATATATATATATATATATATATATATATATATATATATATATATATATATATATATTAAAAAAACCGTATATAAGTACAGACAACCTTGGTTTGCGGGGTAATGACTTATTGCCCGCCACCAGAATATACCTGGCGATCGAAAGCAAGATTGTATGCTGTTATATACGTTGTATTTGCCCTTTATTATATTTACTGGGCATGCATGTCCTTTTACAAGGCAACTACATTGAACACTTTCTCATATTTGGTACGGTATTTTTGTCGGCCTCTTAACAGATTTGTGTCTATCTATATGTACCTATAGATCTCTATATCTATTTATATCTATCTATCGATATCTACTAATCGATATCACTATATCTCTATCAATATCTATATCTATCTCTGATTGATCTATGTATAAGTGTGTGGGTAGAAATGGCTGCCTGCTCTCGTTGGCAAGCTAATCTATCAGGCATGTTAAAAACCCGCATAAAGAACCAGTTGTTTAAACTATAGCCATTGTGAGCGGACCTTAGTTCCAGTTTCTGTGAACGAGAGTATAATCTATTCTGATCAGCAATACGCTCATATTCTCGGTCACAATGA